GTGTGTGTGTGTGTGTGTGTGTGTGTGTGTGTGTGTGTGTGTGTGTGTGTGCTATACGGGCATTTCAGGACGAACCTGGCCACATCTTTGCGCTAGAATCAGTTCGACTGAATCTAGCGCGTACACTCGGCCAGATTCATGTCGAAATGAACGTAGTAGCAGTGCGAAGCAGAGAAGCTGGGGTCTCTCTCTCTCTCTCTCTCTCTCTCTCTCTCTCTCTCTCTCTCTCAAGCCGTTTCACGGTGCTTCCCTGCTTGCCACGTGCGCGCATTGGGAGGGACGGTTCACTTGCCACGTGTGCGCGTCGGGAGGGAGGGTTCACACGTTCAGATCTTTTGAACGTCACTCGGCTGAGTGCAAACGCGAAAAAATCGGGGGGAAAATCAAATGGCCGGTACCGCTACCGGCCTGATGGTGGGTCTCTGGCCTCAGGCCTGAGTCCCTGAGTCCCTGAGGCCAGAGGCCGACGCGTCCTATGCTGTCAAAGTCCTGCAAAAGCGACATTTTTGCTGCTAAACCTGATGGACCCGGTAAAGCTGCTGCCAAACATACATTTTTGCAAGGGAAACTTGGACCTGACGATATTTTTGCTGTCAAACTTCGAAAACACAATATTTTTGCAATTAACCCTACGAAAAAATGAAAGGTACGGGTAAGTGGGACTTGGTCGCCCGGCCAGACAGTGTCTGACAAATTTGCTTTCTAAAAAAACTGTTTGATTTTTGCCTGATTTGCGGCTTGCTTTTCTTTTCTCTCCAAAAGTTAAGGATTAAGAAAAAAAGAGGAAAGAGAAAAGAAAAAATTATTTAAAAAAAAAGTTGCAACCGTCTGAGATTTTGGAGAGAAAAGAAAAAGAAGAGGAAGAAAAGAAGCTGCAACCGTCGAAACTCCATGGGAATCTCAGATGGGTGAGTATCACTGAGTAATTTTCACCCATCTGAAATTCGCATGGAATTTCGACTGAGGTCTGTTGCAACTTTTCCTAAGTGTACCAATTGCAGTCCCTAAGATTTATTTATGTCTCTGGGTTTCATAGTCTGTATGTGTGCCCCCGGGCACGTATGATTGACGCTGAGTTTTCTCAGTGTCGGCCGCTAAAATGTGGATGATGCGCATGGGTGGCGACGACGCCCGTTCTCACTACGAGGCGTAGTACTACTCACAGCTCGTCACGAAGCCGACGCTGCTAGCGGCAGGGTCACAGGCGTTCAACTGGCGCAGGCATATTGTCGACTCCGGGAATGCTGTTTTGTTTTGACTTGGGAAGCCGCCTGTGACGTTGGGTATATTTCCCAACTACATCCCGGAGTGGGCGGCGTGCAGAGTAAGCTTCAGCTACAATGTCGGATTGGCGGACCCTGGCGTGGCAGCAAGGATGGATTGGATGGGGACGGGAAGTATCACCAACGAAAGGAAGGACGACGGAGACGATGGCGATAGAAGGTCGTGAGAGTCGTCGTAGTGGCACCTCCTCGCCTTTTCTGTGTGCTGAGCGGAAGGTCCCCCTGTTGATGGCGCCGCGTCCGTCGTCCGTCGTCCGTCGTCCNNNGGGGGACGGAAGGGGGGGATGAGGAAACGGACGGAGGGGCGAGGGGGGAGGTGGGAGGGGGAACAGAAGGTAAGGGTGGGGGAACGGATTGCAGGGGGTTTGGAGGGGTTGCCACGTCTCCCCGGTGAGGCTTTGTTTGTGGACGGGCACTGTGCTGGTGTCGCTGGTTGTCGGTGTGGTTGGTCGACGTAGCTGTTTATGTGTCGCGTGCTATAAAATGGAAGCCATTATGAAAATGGCACCTTTTTTTTATTATAAATAAAACAACTTCCACCTGTGCGATTGCAATCAGTCGATTGATCAATTGACTGATTGATAGATGGATTGATTGATTGAACGATTGATTGATTGATTGATTGATTGATTGATTGATTGATTGATTGATCGATTGATTGATCGATTGATCGATTGAACGATTGATTGATCGATTGATTGATTGATCAATTGATCGCTTGATTGATTAACGTATACTTTGTTTTCGTTCATGATGTTTTCATGATGTCATCGAGTGCGCTGCAGAGCTGCGATCGAGGGAGAAACAAAAAACAATTTTTATAAACAATGACCAAAAGTTTTTGTAATTGAACCTATCGATGTGACTCTGTTGGGACTATCACTGAAGACATGGAGCACACATCCAACCAGGGAATGAGCAGGAGAAAAATTGGAATCGTAACATGGCCACACAGCTATAGAAGGACGGCAAAAGAAAGCATTGGACAAGTTCAAAACACAGAATAAAGGCGATAGCGCCGTCGTCATAAAATCGTTGATGGAGCACCCTTCATCGCTCTACAAATGTTTAACAAGAAAAGAAAACTAACAGCACAAAAAGGACAAAACATTCTACAAAAAAACAACAACTGCATGGAAATCGCCAACGGCGTTCCCCCACCCCCACCTTCGTTCCCCCCCCCCCCCCCCTCTCCTTCCTCCCCACCCCCGCTCTACAATAGTTCAACAACAACAAAAAAAAACCTAACAACAAAAAAATAGTACAAAAATCTATAAAAAAAAACAACAACTTCATGGACCCAGCCAACGGCGTTCCCCCCCCCCCCCCTCCCTTCCCCCCCCCCCCTTCTTACTTTCCCCCAGCCCCTCCTTCCTCCTCCCCCCCTACACCGACCAATCCCGAACATCAGCACGCTCGTCCTCCGCAACAGAGCAACGACCGAGGTAGCGCCATGGAAAGTGTTCGAGAGCGTTCACTCGTGTTTCATGCACTCCGCAAGTGCTTTGCGCAAGGCCAGCGCCCGAGGCCAGTTGAAGTTCTCCGCAATGGGGTGGTGTGGGTGATCCATCCCCAAGTGTTCTCGCCGACGTACACCATTCGCGTCCACCACCCACAACAAGTTGTCGTCGAAGTCGATGCCAACATCCAGGAGGATGTTGTGCAGAATGCACACGGTTTGGAACTGTTGCAGGAGAGTGTTCAAATTTGTTTTGTGTGTGCGGAGGAAAAGCCTTCACATCCCCTTCAGCCTTCCGAAAACTCTCTCCACCGCTCCTCTAGCGACCTTCTGCTTGTTGTCAAACCTCTCCTTATCAGGGATTTGATCGGTCCCTCCATAAGGCACCACGATCCACTCCATGGGAGGATAGCCGTTATCGCCAAGGATGTACCCGTGTGTCTGCACCCCGAACCGCAGGAGCACAGTAGGACCACGGAAAAGATTCTCCTTTCTAGCGCGCTTCCACAGAGTGGACAGCTGAAGCACTCACATGGTTTGACAGCTCCTGGGATAACCGACGAAAACGAATGTCACACCCAAGTCCAAGTCCACAACCACCTCCGCAACCACCGAAAAACGATGCTTCCGGTTGAAGTAATTCTCGGACGGCGCGTTCGCTGGTTTGTCCACATAGATGTGCGTGCAGTCTGTGCAGCCATAGCAGTTGGGGAAACCCTTTGCCTCAAACGCGCCAAACGACCAGCCGCCGCAACCCAAAAGACCAAATGATCTTCTTCCGGTACACTTTCGGAAGTGCCCTCGTCACGTTCTCCACTGCAATCATACCTGATGCGCGACCTATGCCGAAAGACAACGTGCTGCTCTCGTACGTTTCCCCGCTCGCCCAACAATAAAGTGCGTATGCCATGATGTGATTGGGCATTAAAGGTTCCCTGTAGGATGTCACCCTGCACTGCAGATGAGGGGACAACACCTCGACGATCTCCAGAAACACTCTACGGGACATCCGCAACTTCTCCTTATAGTAGCCCTCTGCCGCGTCGTCCATCTTCCGGAGATCCTCCCATGTACCACCCAACGCCCGTCCTTCTCCTCATCCACCATCTTGGAGTCGCCCGTGGGATCGCACCCGATGCCATGGCGCACCAGAATTGCATAATGGATTCTGACAACGACACACAATCGGGCGCCTCCATCACTTGTTGCATGAGCTGCCTTTCCCTGTGAATGGACAGTCTCATCTTCAGGCGAGCTGCCATCCTCTCAATGCGATAATGAATGGCGACGACCGACACAACTGCAACCATCGCATTTCTCTCCAAAGTCGTCAATGCATTCCCAACGGTCCGCACCTCTCCAAAGTCGTAAATGCTAGACTACCAGCCGAGCTGCCTGGATCTCCTTATTTCTCCGGGTTGCGCGGTCCTGCAAGGGCCCAAGAAGGTCCCATAAATAAAATAAAATAAAATAAATCCAAAACAATCCAAAAAAAAAACTATGTTATGCAGAAAAATAAAATGAATAATGTTTGCCCAAGAGTCACATCGAAATTATTTCCCAAAATTTAAAAACAAATATAAAGCTAGGCTAGCAGCCGGACCGCCCAGGTCACCCTATTTCCCCGGGGGGCCGGCCGTGCAAGGACTGCGGAAGGTCCCAACCAAAAAAATAATAAAAAAACAAAATCCAAGAAATTCGAAAAAAATACTATGTTATGCAGAAACATAAACTCAACCACTTTTGCCTCAGGGTCACATCGAAACTCTTTACCAAATTCAAAATAAAAATTTAAACTAAAAATATATATATATTTGTTTTTTGGCCCGGCCGGGCAAAGTGCACCCGGACCACTCTGGTAGCCTAGATATAAAGT